TTTTTTTTTTGTGATGGCCTTGCTCTGTCACCCAGGCTGGAGTGCAGTGGTGTGATCTCAGCTCACTGCAACTTTTACCTCCCAGGCTCAACTGATCCTCCCACCTCAGCCTCCCAAGTAGCAGGGACCACAGGCATGCACTGCAACCACCATGCCTGGCTAATTTTTTGTATTTTTGGTAGAGACCAGGTTTTGCCGTGTTGCCTAGGCTGGTCTCGAACTCCTGAGCTCAGGTAATGTACCTCCCCTGGTCTCCCCAAGTGCTGGATTACAGGTGTGAGACACTGCACCTGACCCCTTTGAGCCTTTTGAAGTAATGATCTCAGGACCAGGACAGAGATGCCTTTGTCTTTTTTTCAGGTTTGCACACTTAATAAATGTCACTTGCGGGCTTGTTCAAGTGTTTCTGGGTTTTCATATCCCTTAAGTGACTTACAACCTTCCTCAGGTATGTTAGGAGCCTGAGGCCTTTACCTAATAAGCTGCCTTCCTTACTTCAGCTATAAAAGGCTGCAACAGGATAGGTGGCGGAATTAGTTAAGATAAACTAGGCTTCAAACCAGAGTTCAGAAGCTAGAAACAACAGAGGCTTATTTATCACTGCATGTTCATCATGGTTAACGTCATATTGTTCTTTATATCATCTTATTCGCCCTGGCACTCACATTGCCCTAGCGGCTACTATCTGGAACTTTTGGGTTGCTGTGGCAGAGGCAAAGAGATGTGGTAGTGTGGACTGGTTGGTTCTTAAGTTACAGTTGGAAACAACACATCTGTGGACATTTCCTTGGCCAGAGCAGGTTAAATAAGCCTTTCTTCAAGGGGATGTGAAAGAAAACTCCCACACTGAAGGAACCACCTCTTGGTGAACAGTAATACAATTTACCACAGTGGTCATCAAGGGCCAGAGGAGATGTCTGAGGCTCTGCGGGTCTCTGGAGTAAGACTGAAGACTGATTCATCATTCTAGGTTCTATGGATAGGCTTTTAGGAATCTGAAATTGTGTGAAAGTTCTCTATGTATATGCATTTTTATGGGGAACCTCTGTGGATTCTTTTTATTTATTTGTGTATTCATTTTTTGACATGGAGTCTTGCTCTAGTCACCTAGACTGGATTGCAGTGGTGTGATCCCGGCTCACTGCAACCTCTGCCTCCCAAATTCAAGTGATTCCCCTATTTCAGCCTCCTGAGTAGCTGGGACTTCTCGAGATTTTTTTTTTTTCTTTTTTAGTTTTAGTTTTCATTCCACCCTCCTACTCCTTGTATTCTTAAAAGAGTCATTCTGTGACCCAGAAAAGGTTAAGCATCACTTCCTTAAAGAAAAAGTTTGGGGGGCAGATGCGGTGTCTCACACCTATAATCTCAGCACTTTGGGAGGCAGAAGCAGGAGGATTGCTTGAGCCCAAGAGTTTGAGACCAACCTGGGCAACATAGTGAGAGCCTGTTTTTTAACAAAAAGAAATAATAAATTAAAAAGTTTGGTGTTGAGCAGAACTCAGTGAAGGAAAGTAAGAATTCAGTTCCATAAGAATCTATGTTGGGTGAGGTTTGCATGACTACATCTGTTCTCTGTGGGAGATGCTGGTATGGATTTGGGTTTGTATTTTCAGATGTGGGGAGGCCATGCCAAGGGCTGTGTGTACATGCACTAATACGATTTTCTTCTTGGGAAACATAGGTTGTATCTGCAGCAAACACTCAATGACACTGTGGGCAGGAAGATTGTCATGGACTTCCTGGGTTTTAACTGGAACTGGATTAATAAGCAACAGGGAAAGCGTGGCTGGGGGCAGCTGACCTCTAACCTGCTGCTCATCGGCATGGAAGGTAAGAAATCTTTCAAAAGCAGCATGGCTTGGAGTCATATGAACCTGATTTCTTTTTTTTTTTCCCGGAGACAGTGTCTCGCTCTGTCACCCAGGCTGGAGTGCAATGGTGTGATCTTGGCTCACTGCAACCTCCGCCTCCTGGGTTCAAGCGATTCTCCTGCCTCAGCTCCCTAAGTAGCTGGGATTACAGGTGCGTGCCATCATGGCCGGCTCATTTTTGTATTTTTTAGTAGTAATGGGAGTTTCACCATGTTGCTCATCTGGGTTTCAAACTCTTGACCTTGTGATCCACCCGCCGTGGCCTCCCAAAGTCCTGGGATTACAGGCGTGAGCATCCACACCCAGCCCTGAACCTCATGTCTAATCCTGTCTCCACCACTTATTAGCTCCATGACTTTGAACAAGCCACTTCACTTTCTTAAACCTCAGCCTACTCATCTGTAAAAGAAACATAGTAGAGCCAGGCATGGGAGCTCATGCCTGTAATCCCACCACTTTGGGAGGCCAAGGCAGGAGCATTGCTTGAGGCCAGGAGTTTGAGACTGCAATGAACTATGATTGCACCACTGCACTGCAGCCTGGGTGACAGAGTGAGACCCTGTGTTTTTTTAAAAAAAGAGAAAGAAATGAAACATGATAATGTCTTGTAAATAGTTGTGAAGATTAAATGAAATAATGTATGTTGAGTCTTTAAGCTAATTTCATGTATTCTAAAATGTGCCCTTTTCCTCTCCTCAGCTGGTATGTACGTGCATATGCTGAGATATTAGGAACCTCTCTGAATTACAGTCATGTGACGCGTAATGACAGGGATACGTTCTGAGAAATGTATTGTTAGGTGACTTTGTCGTTGTGCAACATTGTGTAGTTACGCAAACCTAGATTGTGTAGCCTGCTGTACACCTAGGCTAAATGGTGTTAGCATTTTTCTATACTGAATATTGTAGGTAGCTATAATACAATGGTAAGTATTTGTGTATCTAAATGTAGCTAAATAGAGAAAAGATATAGTAAAAATATGGTATCAAATACTGCAGGAAAAAGGTGACAAAATAAAAAAATATTATAAGGATAAAAAATGATACTTTGGGAATTTTTTTATTGCCAAAAAAAGTTAAAAAATGGTATACCTGTACAGGGCTGCTCCATTATAATCTTATGGGAGCACTGTTGTAGATGCAGTCTGTTGTTGACCAGAATGTTACTATGTGGCGCATGACTGTACCACTTGTCTCTACTAGATCTGTTTGTATTCAGAAAATTTTTATCCCAGTAAAAGAAGGGAAACTTATTTTTTAATATGAATTCAACTTTATCTTTTAAATAGATAATACATTCATGGAGTTTAAATTCAAACGGTGTAAATAGGTATGTAGTGATAAATATTAATTTCTCTTCCACCCCTGTCTCTCAGCCTTTCAGTTTCCTCCCTGGAAATACCTCTTCCCTGGAGGTGTTGCATATTATTAGTTACTGTGCTTTCTGCTAGAGAAATTTATGCATACACTAATAAATATGTGAATGTTTTTTTGTTTTTGCTTTTTTTTTTTTCCTTTTGAATGAAAGGAGAGGCCTTTAAACTCCAGTCAGGAGAATGAGAGCTATTTATGAGGCAGGGTCATTGTTTCATTCTTATTTTTATTTCTGGCAGTAGCTCAGTGCCAGGCCCGTGGTAGGTACTTAGTAAAGGGTGAATAACCTGGGTTGAACAAGGAAGCAGAGAAGTTACTTATTGTCACTGAGCTCCTTGCTTTCTTCTCGTTTGATTGTCCATTCTTCAGATTTGGATCTTTTGCTGCTGGTACTAATAAAGATTTTCAGCCATATGGCTTGTGAATTAACACTTACCTGCCTCTTTATTTATTTATTTTTTATTGAGACAGTGTTTTTCTCTGTCATCCAGGCTGGAGTGCAGTGGCATGATCAGGGCTCACTGCAGGCTTAACCTCCCAGTCTCAAATGATCCTCTCACTTCAGCCTTCCAGGTAGCTGGGACTATGGGTGTAAGCCACCATTCCTGGCTAATTCTTAAAATATTTTTCTGTAGAGATGGGGGTCTCCCTATTTTGCCTAGAGTAGTCTTGAACTCCTGGGCTCAAGTGATTCTCCCACCTTGGCCTCCTAAAGTGTTGGGATTACAGATGTGAACCACTGTGGCTGGTCTTACCTGCCCCTTTGAAACCAACTGTTGGTTGACCTGCCAAGAAAGAGCCAGTTCTGATTTACTTGACTCTTAAGTCTTTCCGTTGCTGCATTTTCTGTGATAGGGTGCTTGGAAGTGGATCCCTCAGGTAGAGATGAGAGAGCAGCTCTCCTTTGAGGATGCATATGGTCTCTCATCACTTAAGAAGGCATCTGTCTTGGCATACCTAGACAGAGCTGCGGAATATTTTCTAAATTCCATGCCCTGCAAAAGCGTGTGTTCAACTCATGGACTGTGCAAAGGCCAAACAACAGACATGGTCCTAGTTATAAAGGAGTAGATGGAACATACACTAGGGCACAACTAATTCAAGGTTGCATTTAAAATAATGTGCCACAGGGCATGGTGGCTCACATCTGTAATCCCAGCACTTTGGGAGGCCGAGTCAGGTGGATCAGCTGAGGTCAGGAGTTCGAGACCAGCCTGGCCAACACGGTGAAACCCCATCGCTACTAAAAAAATACAAAAATTAGCCGGGCATGGTGGTGGGCACCTGGAGTCCCAGCTACTCGGGAGGCTGACACAGGGGAGTTGCTTGAACCTGGGAGATGGAGGTAGCAGTGAGCCGAGATCGCACCACTGCACTCCAGCCTGGGCAACAAAGAGCAAAACTTCGTCTCAAAAAATAATAATAATGGTAAAATAATTTGCCAGATTTAAATTATACAACACTTTTCAGTCATCTGATATTCTTCCCTCCAACGAAAATCACTTTTACCAGTAAGCCCCATGTTGCTCTAAGAAGTGTTGTCTTGGCTGGATGTGGTGGCTCACGCCTGTAATCCTAACACTTTGGGAGCCTGAGGCGGACAGTTTGCTTGAGCCCAGGAGTTTGAGACCAGCCTGGGCAACATGGCAAAACCCTGTCTCTTTTAAAAAAAAAAAAAAAAATTATTGCATCCCTTAGGTGTATTGAAGTGGGAGGAAAGGTTGAGAATCTTTGAGTTCCACAGGGCTACCCAAAGTAAATACAGAGCTACCTAATCATGCAACTTAGAATGGCTGGTTAACTCCTCGTGTATATGTTGTTCATACCAGTCATTTCTGTTTTGCTTCCCTTGAATTCTTGCAATGGTCAAGAAGAGTACACATATACACAGTTGATTACCCTACCAGATTTTCGAGTATCATTTTGATGTGCTGTTGCTTCCAGTAAGAGCAGCAGCCTTCATTTAGGAAAGTTGACTTAGCTAGCTGATAGTGGACCCTTAACCATTGACGTTTGCTAGATTTATTACTATACAAGTGTAACATCTCATTTTCTGAGAGTTGTAATTGGAATTTCCCTGATTTCTGCTTAAATTTTGATTTGGAACTCTTAGCTGGGAAGGCAGGCTGGGTTTTTGCACTGGGTCCTGTATTCCAGCTTGTGCAGTAGAATCACTGTTCTGCATAAAAAAATGCCTTTCTTCTTACAGGAAATGTGACTCCTGCTCACTATGATGAGCAGCAGAACTTTTTTGCTCAGATAAAAGGCCACAAGCGATGCATCTTATTCCCTCCGGATCAGTTTGAGTGCCTCTACCCATACCCTGTTCATCATCCGTGTGACAGACAGAGCCAGGTGAGCTTGTGTGGTCTGAGAAGGATATAGAACTCTAGATTGTAGGAATGCCTGTGCTGGAATATCTTTCCCCTTCCCCGTAGTGATAGGCCAGGTTTGGATTATAGGCTGGTCTTGCCTTAACACACCAAGAAGATAATTTCAGTGTAGCTCACATATCCAGGCTCCCTGGAGTGGCCAGCGAATGTTTTTGAGTATAGCTAACCCCACAGAGTTAATTCTCAAGCCAGACCCTGTCATTGATGCTGATGACTCTGGTTACTCTGTTTGATTGGCTTATAAGTTCATGGAACAAAATGTTTCCATTGGATTTAATCATTGTTTGCTTTTGTCATGGATACTGTTTCTTTTTGATATGGAAAGGGTGAATAAAACTGAGCTATATCGTTTAATATATTTCCTGGATTTATGTGAGGTATGTGATTGACTGTGGCCAGCCAGAATTATCCTTTCCTTTCTTCAGAAAGCGGTCTAGCTACTTCATGTAGGAGTCTTTACTGGTTAGAATATGTTTTTGGGAGAAAGTTTCTGAAGGTTTGCATGGAGGATAATTCCTTATATCCTTGGACTGTGGGGTAGGTCCTCCAACCTCAGGAGCACTGAAGGCCTAGAATTCTTTATCATTTAACATTCAAACGTGGACTGTCTTACATTGTTCTCTCTCAGAGTTTAATGTGCATTATATCTTCTGCTGGATATAAATTCTAAAGACTTTTTAAAGGCATTGTTTTGTTTGTTGATTTTTACTACCAAACTGGCACATAATAGTTTTACTGGTAAAGATTTGGTGATTGACTGATAATTTTTTTTCTTTCTCTTGAACCTCTTAGGTGGACTTTGACAATCCTGACTACGAGAGGTTCCCTAATTTCCAAAATGTCGTTGGTTACGAAACAGTGGTTGGCCCTGGTGATGTTCTTTACATCCCAATGTACTGGTGAGAAGGGGGATAGGGCTGGGGGCTTCTTGGGAGCCTTCTTTTCCGTTCCCTGGAAAGCCTTGTCTGTGTCCCTTCTGAGTTATGGCAAGATTGGTTTTATGTGGTCTATAGAAATGTTGGCATATCCAGATGTGAGCGTACTGAACTGGTGGGAGTGGGGGACGAATGATAGCCCCTGTCTCTAGAACAGGACGACAATTCTTCAAGTCCTGAGAGATTCCAGATGTTTGAGCCTAGAGAAACTATTCTCGATTCTTTGGTATTTAGAGACTGAACACCACTATCTCTAATCCCATCGTGTGTTTTTTCACAGGATGAGTGTAAAGATACTATCTTCATTATCTTCCTTAACTGGCCTCTACCTAGTTTTTCAGCCCCCCAAGCCCCACCACCCCAAAAGTATCAGTAGTAAACAGGGGCCTGTTTGTTTTCTTGCAGGTGGCATCATATAGAGTCATTACTAAATGGGGGAATTACCATCACTGTGAACTTCTGGTATAAGGTGAATACGATTTGCTTTTTTGTTTTTTTTCCAGACGGTCTTGGGTGAGGTAGGTATAATAAATGATTTTGAATGGGATGGTTGACTATCCCTGGAAGTGATTCCCAGGTGTCTGGGGAGATGAAGAGGGATAGGATTAAATTGGGTTTCTTTCTTTTTTTTTTTTTTTTTTTTTTTTCTTTTTTTGATACATTTTTTGAGACGGAGTCTTGCTCTGTCTCCCAGGCTGGAGTGCAGTGGCGCAATCTTGGCTTACTGCAACTTCTGCCTCCTGGGTTCAAGTGATTCTCCTGCCTCAGCCTCCTGAGTAGCTGGGATCACAGGCACACTCCACCATGCCTGGCTCATTTTTGTATTTTTAGAAGAAAAGGGTTTCACCATGTTGGCCAGGCTTTTCTGGAACTCCTGACCTCAAGTGATCCACCCACCTTGGCCTCCCAAAGTGCTGGGATTACAGGTGTGAGCTACTGCACCCAGCAATAATCAGGTTTCTTAGAAGGGAGGATGGTACTAAGAACAGTAGAGTTACACTGGTGCCTGCTGCTAAAGGCATTTCCTGAGCTACTGCTTCCTTTGTAGGGGGCTCCTACCCCTAAGAGAATTGAATATCCTCTCAAAGCTCATCAGAAAGTGGCCATAATGAGAAACATTGAGAAGATGCTTGGAGAGGCCTTGGGAAACCCACAAGAGGTATGTGACTGTCCCAAAGTGGCACTCCTGTGGCTCAGTGGGTGGGTTGGCTAGGGAAAGTCAGGATTGGAGTGACATTCTTTATAATAGCTTTTGTATTTCAGTATCTGTGTCCTCTCTCTCCATAGAGGTTATGGGTATGTTCAGAAAAATTCTTGTTTTCTGGTGATAGCTGGGCTTGACTGGCGGATCAATTATAATTTGTTCCATGCTAGTGCTAACGTTCCCCATGGGGCTTGTGTGCCATCTGGGGGCTCCCTGAGGGGATTCTTCTGGAGCAGGAAGCGAGCACTAAAGCATCTCCTTGCACTCTCCCAGCTGTGCCAGGCTGCTGTAGGTAGTGTTGAGACCTGCTTCCCACACAGGTGTGCCAGTGGCCCATTGGGTACATGGGGGAGGTATTCGTAGGGCTCTTACCTCCTTCTTGTGGATAACCTCAGCACCCATAGATACCTATGGTATTAGGAGACAGCATCAGCCCCAATTGCTGGTGATCGTTTTTTGAGGATATGGAGGCAGTTAACATTCTGGAAAAACATGCAGACACTCTTGGGTGTTTGGGAATTTTTAGCTCCTCTACCATGTCTGTCAGTTTGGGGCTGACTTCAGTAAGAGACAGGGTGTTGTGAGAGGGAGGAATAGTACAAGATGGACCCATGAGGAGAGAGCTATGTCCCAGAATACTGGGTTGACCTTCAGTAAGATGGGTGATTAGAGGATTCACAAGGTTGTATGAAAACATTGTCCCTGTTGTTGGCTAGACATCTGATGTCTCCAGACACACCCTGTCCAACTCCAGGGCCAGGGAACAGGCAGTTCTGATGGGCTCCTCATGTCTCTTTACAGGTGGGGCCCTTGTTGAACACAATGATCAAGGGCCGATACAACTAGCCTGCCAGGAGTCAAGGCCTCCTGCCAGGTGACTGCTATCCCGTCCACACCGCTTCATTGATGAGGACAGGAGACTCCAAGCGCTAGTATTGCACGCTGCACTTAATGGACTGGACTCTTGCCATGGCCTAGGAGGCAGGTGTTTGGGGCGAGGCAGGGCAGTTGGCACTCCACCCCTATTTGGAGGGACTTCATACCCTTGCCTCTTGTGCCCCAGCACCTTCTCTCTCTGCCCCCCGCCTAAAGTCCTGCATTCAGTGTGTGGAGTCGCAGCTTTTGGTTGTCATCATGTCTGTGTATATGTTAGTCTGTCAACCTCGGAATGTGTGTGCGTGTGTGTGCATGCACACGCATGTATGTATCTGTTCCCTGTTCCTTCTGGGTCAGGATGTCACTTCTGGCTCTCAGCCCTATCTCCTGCAACCTCAGTGCCTCAGCCTGAGAGAGAGAGGAGATTCTCTTGGACCCCCACTGCATCTGGGCTGCAGGGCCAGAGCTAGTCTGACCATTAGGGCAGTCTGCCTCCTGACAGTTTTTGCATAATCAAGCTCTAGGCAGTATGGGAATGGCTACTGGGACTCTAATGGGGTGAATGAGAGGGGAGGCTTGCCTTTGAGAGCCTGGATAGCCTGTGAGAGAGAGGATGTAGATAGGGTTCCAACTGGGACCTAGAAGCTCAAGCCATACATAAAAGGACCTTGGGACATAAGAGCCAATGATTTTGCATAAGTTACAAATTACAGACACATACAATTTCTCTCTTTCAGCACCAGCTCTTGCCCCTATGGTGGGTACCAAGGGAGTTCTCCTAGCTGTGGCTTCTCTGGGTTCTAGGGGGTACAGGCCTGTGTGTGTGTGTGTGTGTCTAGGTTCTAGGGAGTGCAGGCCTATGTGTGTGTGTGTCTAGGTTCTAGGGGGTGCAAACCTGTGTGTGTGTGTGTGTGTGTGTGTGTGTGTGTGTGTGTTCATATGTGTATGTATCCACACTGGCCTGCCTAGGGGTACAAGCGTATGTGTGTGTGTGTGTGTGTGTGTGTGTGTGTGTCCACACTGGCCAGCCTCCCTACTGACCAAGGTTCTCCCACTGTTTACCTTTTCCAGTGGGATAGTACAGTGTGAGCCCCCAGGAAGTACTGCCTGACTTATCCCAAGCTTTTACACTTGGATTTTAGCCATCATATGTTGGCCAGGTCTCACTGCAGCCTGTCCGAGGCTGACTGGCTAGAGCCTCCAGGCCCTACAATGCTCCCTGCCCAGGCCATATCCTTTACTCCTGCTGAGCTTCCTGGCCGAACAGTGAAATGGGGTCAAGCCCAGGCAGCTCACTCACTACCTGTGATCCACCTCAGGGCACGGGCAAACACATACCTTGCCTCTTAAAGCCAGCGCCTCTGCCAGACCCCATTTAATGTGCCACAACACCCTCAATAGTCAGGGCATCTGGCAGAGCATGGAAGTCGAATTTCCTTTTCTGTTAGGAGCTTCTCATGGGTACCCTCTCAGGGCCGCAGCTTACAGGTGGGCAGCTGTGATTGTACAACTTGAAGGGCCACCATTCACATCTGTTCAGTAGGAGTGGGGCCCCTGGGATTGGGCATTATGGTGGCCCTGTGTCTCCTCACCTCTCTTCCCATCTTCATCCCCTTCTCTCTGGAAGGGAAGAAGAGTTGGAAGTTCTCCGGTTTTATTTTCTTTTGCCAAAGGTTTACTTCCAGCATCTGAGCTCTGGCTCTCACCCCGAAGCTCAGTTTATAGTGCACTGATGGACTGAGAGGATGTGTTTGTATGCGTTTGCATGCCTGAGTTTGTTTTTTGAGGGGTGTTTATTTTTGGTACCTCATTCTGGGGTTCTCTGATGCAGTGTGGATGTGAAGACATGGTACCTTCTGAAGTGTAGCTCTTTCAAATATAGTCAATGCTGGGAAATGTGATTGCAGTGATCTCTATCCCTCTACTTCTTTTGGGAAAGAGGGGTGCAGCAAAGAAAACAAGGCAGACGGAGGATAAATTTGGCCACAGTCACACTTGGAAACATGGTAGATTATCTTCGTTCTCCTCAGGAGGTCTGCTGTATTCCTGGCTCAGCCCTCAAGGTTGTGGGTGATGTGTCAAGGAGGTGTGCACTCAGCTGGCCCTCGCTGGGTTCTGTGCTGACACAGGTTTCCCCTAAGGTGGCTGAAGGGGAGGGAAGGAAAAGGCTAATCTTGGAACCTTCACAGGATTGGTCTTGATCCTTGGGTAATACAAGAGTGACCCTGATTTTCAGACACCTAATCTGTGCCTAGTGCTTTTATCTTTGTTCCTCACTATCCTGCAAGGTAGGTATTCTCACAGAGGAAGAAATGGGCTCAGAGAGATTAGGTGATGAGTTACAATCAGTTGTAACTTAGCACTGCTTCCTGCTCCTTCCTTTCCACCAAATTATGTTGATTTTCCTTCCTTACCTCCCTCCTTGCACCACAGGTTCTGTCCTCAGATACCACCGCAATGGGCAGTATCTGAAGGCAGACCCAGCCCAAGATGGTGCAGAATATACAGCTCAGGGCAAAAGCTCTCCTAGGCTCCCACTAACAACAATTTGGAAGAACTGCCTGAGAAGCCATATTATGAATTAGTGCTAGAAGCAGCTATGGGGGAACTGAGTTCTGTCTCTAATTGCATTACGTGTGTGTCCTTGAATAGGACCCATAACTCCTCCCAGCATGCTTTTGCGTCTATAGAACTGAAGCTGTAGTTCTAGATGTCACTATGAGTCTTGGTTCATGTTCAGCTGCCGCTGCTTCTCCCAAGGAAAGGATGAGGTTTTCCTCTTCAGTTACCTTGTTTAGGGATGTTTAGGCTCAAATTCTCCTTGCCACAGAGGAAACATTTCTGCTGTAGTTGTTCAACCCCATCCTAGCTGGCAGTGTGGGGTACACAAATACAGCAAGGGAAGGTGGGGGTTTGGACCTGTATAGAGGTCAGCCACGTTACAGCCTGCTGTAGTCACACCAGCAGGTACAGAGAAAACTTGTGTTTTGTAAAGTCAGGTATTTGTTGGGGGGTTGGAGTTCTGGGGATGGAGGAGGGGCTGTTCTGGGCATCAGTTGAGCAGATGCCCAAGATGCCTGGGGGAGACCAGCTTCCCCTACAAATCAGAGCTCTAAATTACAAGGTTTTTACCAACGTGAACAGTTGGGGGAAGTCGTCTGCTCTCATTTGCGTAATGGTTTCTGTCACTGGTGATTAGACACAGGATGAAGGAAAAGAAATTTGACAATTAGGAATGAGCGATCATTAATCTGAATCTGTTAGGAGACAGAGAGGGGAAGGATCCTTATCAGTGGGCCAGCCCAGTGTGGGGAGACACTCCCTCCCTCTGCCCCCAGAGACTAGTCAGCTACATCTTCTTTCAGTATTGCCACAAGTGGACAGAGTTTGTATTTCTTAACAAAGACTAGGGACCCAGTGCCCAGCCTGACATGGATATAGGAACAGACATCTTTGGGCATGAGCCAACGAAGATAGAAGTAGATGGGTATCAAGTACAAGCTATAAGGCAAAGAATAACAAAAAGTTTTGACATGTATTTGCCATTTGTGGAAAATGCTTCTGTAATAGCACCCCTGATAGCCCACCTGTGACAAGTATTTGTTAAATTCTAGCACTGCAGGGCATGAGGAAAACCTGATCCTTATCAAATCCCAGGAGCCTCTGCTTAGAGGGAGAAATTACATGAAGCAACCAGAAGGTACAAGGCCACACGTGTATATTGTGTGCCCTGTGTGGACAAGATTAGGGACTGTTGAGAGAAGAGGAAACCAGTAGAGAGCAAAGCTCTACCTCCAGGCTCCTCAAAGCCTCTGGGCTCCCCTGAGAGGGCCTCTATTGTAGGCTTCCTAGTGATGTTGATGTCTCCACAACCCCACATCAGTGCAGCTGTGGCTGTGCGGAGGGCTCAGGCCTCTGGCCCAAATGTGTGAACAGTGCTGAGGTTCAGTAATAGCATGAGTCTTCAGGTGCAGAGCAACCCACCTTGGCTCCTCCCATGTCTTTGTGTCACCTTTCACCTTCCGCTGTCCTTTCAAACTTCAAGGACAGTATGTATACTAACTGCTATTTGTTCCTCAGTTTTGTGACTTGAATGCAGTGAGTTCCTTAGAGGAGAGGATCCCTCAAGGATGAAGGAATGGGGGTTGGTGGTTCTCTCTCTTTCGGAATGGGAACTTCCCAAAAATGGAGCTGTGTCTCATCTCAGTAGATTCCCTACCCCTGAGTCTTCCACCCTTCAAAATCTGGTACAGCGTTTAGCAAGGGCTGCAGGGACTGACCCTCAGGAACCAGTTTCACCCAGATAGGATAGATGATGAGGTGTGCCTAGAAGTAGCTCCAGGGATCCAGAGGCCTGGCCTTTCACCTGGCGTCTTACTCCCCCTTGAGACCTCCAGTTGCTTGTCCTCCACTCCTTGCACACTTCGCTGGTGTCTTCTCAAACTGCCAGCTCTGAAGTCTCTCTCCAGAGCTGCCTGCAGTTTCCCGTATTCAGCTCCCCCTGCCTCATCTCTCCAGCAGCCTCCTCACTGAGACTCTTTCCTAAACAGTTGTCCTTCCCTTAGAAACTCTGTGGCTTCAAGTGTTTGAATAGATCTGTCTTTAGGATCCCTCTCTCTGGGGTCATCCCTGTTCATCTTAGGGCCATCTCCCTTTTCTGATTTTTGACAGCCCTGTTTATTTTGCCCATGGCTAGTCCTCTTGTTCTGTGTCTGCTATGTCTTCCTGACCTTCTGTTGTCAGCTCTGTACATCCTGGTTTAGCTTGTCTCACTCTGGTAGACCTTTCTGCTTGTCTTTAGCCATCTCGGTTTAATGCTCATAGGTCATGGATGAATGGAGCTTTGCTGAGCACTTTGAAGGCATTTCTTGGGGGCAAAACCTCAGAAACGGGAAGTGGTGAGGCCTGGGAGCCTGTGGTCAGTGAAGCCTCTGGAGATAGGTTAGGGGAGGGCACCTAGGGAGTAGTAGAGGACCAGTTGAGGGGAGAGGTGCAGGAGTTGTTGAGACTTACTGAGAATGGGGCCGGGCCTGGGAAGCCAGTGCGGAAGAACTGAACTATCAAAAGGAGATACCAGTATCCCCTTTGCAGAGTGGTGATGGGCATCACACATGATATATGTAATGTGTTCCCTTCATGGAGGGTTTCCATCTAAATGCATCCGTGTGCCTTAGGGACCAGCAGTTCAGGGGTGATGAACTTTTTTGTGTCTCCTAATTTCTCTGAGGTGTCTTTGACTCTGTGTCACCAAATTTGCCCAACCTCTGCATCCCAGTGCCTGCTGAAAGGGAAACAGTGTATTGCGTAGTCAGATGTCGGGAGTGGAGTGGTGGTTATTGTTTTTTGGTTTTTGGCTTTTTTTAGACGGAGTTTCTCTCTTATTGCCCAGGCTGGAGTGCAATGGCCCTATCTTGGCTCACTGCAACCTCTGCCTCCCAGATTCAAGCGATTGTCCTGCCTCAGCCTCCCAAGTAGCTGGGATTACAGGCATGTACCACCACACCCAGCTAATTTTTGTATTTTTAGTAGAGATGGGGTTTCTCCATGTTGGTCAGGCTGGTGTCAAACTCCCGACCTCAGGTGATCCACCCACCTCGGCCTCCCAAAGTTCTGGGATTGCAGGTGTGAGCCACCACACCCAGCCAGGAGTGGAGTTCTTAATGAGAAAGCTCTGGCAGCTGAAGAGACGAGAGGACCCAGTAGTCAGCTTATACCCCGACTATCTCTTGACTCCACCAAGAATTTGAGTCTGTTAGCTGATTACATATATTCCCCTCACTCCTGCTTTCCCACTTAAAATCTGTTCTCTCGTATTTTGGGAAGGAGCATGTGTCCTTTAACTTTCAATGGTAAACAATCTAGCATAGTGTTTAAAGGCGTGGATTTTGGAGTCAGATATAGTTGGTTCAAATTTCTAGCCTCACTGTTTACCAGCTGGGTTTGACCTTGGTTGATTTACTTAACCTCTCTGAGCTTAGTTTTCTCAACTGTAATGACATGGGTGGAGGGGGGCATGTTGAAAATATCTACCTCGGCATTGTTGGATTAACTGAAACAATGTGTGTAAAGCTTTAGCACAGTGCCTGGCATGCACTTAATAAATGGCTGTGGTGGTGGTGGTTATATTTATTATGTGATTTACTCAGAAACATGGTTTTAGTGATCTCTAAACAGATTCTGTCTGTCTTAAGAAAAGCATAGGGAAAAACGAGAAACATGTGAGATAAACCGTATTGAGTTGAGGGCAGACAGAAGAGTAGTACCTAAACCCACCCTAGTGGAAGAGAAACGGAGTATCTGATGCCTCTTCTGCCTGGGCAGCCAGACTTGACTGCTGTACTCCCAGCCCAGGGCCTTGGGTGAGAAGGTTGCAGGTCTGAACTCCCCTTGCACTGTGTGAGAGGCTGTGGAGCTGAATGAATCCTCATTACACCTGGGGAAGCTGTTGTCTCCTCACACCATGAAATACAATAGTAATCAAATCAGGCCCCCCTTGATTCAATTTTAGTCCATGCCTTTCCATGTATTTAAATTATAAGTGTTGGCCTGGTGTGATGGCTCACACCTGTAATCTCAGCACTTCAGGAGGCTGAGGCAGGAGGATTGTTTGAGCCCAGGAGTTTGAGACCAGCCTAGGCAGTGTAGTGAGACCCCTATCTCTTAATTTTTTTAAAATAATTTTTCAACAATTACAATTTGGGCCAGATATGGTGGCTCACACCTGTAATCCCAGCACTTGGGGAGGCTGAGGTGTGTGGATCACTTGAGGTCAGGAGTTTGAGACCAGCCTGGCCAACATGGTGAAACCCCGTCTCTACTAAAAATACAAAAATTAGCCAGGTGTGTTGGCGGGTGCTTGTAATCCCAGCTACTTGGGAGGCTGTGGCAGGAGAATCACTTGAACCCGGGAGGCACAGGTTGCAGTGAGCCAAGATCTTGTCATTGCACTCTAGCCTGGGCGATAACAGCAAGACTCACTGTAAAAAATAAAAATAAATAACAAGAATGTTAGGATTCTTCTAGGGTAGTAGGGCAATCAGGAAATTTAGAAAAGTATGAGTGGGATAATCATAGCTACCATTTGTTGAGCACTTCTGTTCCAGGCACTGTATTGGTTCCCGTGTGGTGCTCTCAGTTCAGTGGGGGAGACAGGCAGGCAATTAGAATTAGGGTATATAGGGGAGAGGCTTCTTACCACGTCCAGGTTTATATGGTAGGCTTCCTGCAGAAAGTGATAAGTCCAAACTGATAATGTAGGAATAATTAACCAGGGGTTGGGGTTTTCTCCTTTAGTTTCTTTCTCCCAAAACAAACAGTGCTTCTCAATGCCTAAGGGTTTTGTTGTAAATTACTCCAGGGAATGGGTGAGACAATAGATCCCGAAAAGAAAACCCTTTGGTCACAGAAATCTGAAAGTCTTGGTTGCTAGCTTAGATTTGTCCTGGAGTGGACGTAGATTGGACTTGCTCATTTGTAGCCTTCCACTGTCCTCATCTGTGTTCTGGTCTCTGGAGCCACCATGCCAGACCCTACTTGGGAAGAAATGTTGAATCAAGTTACTTAGACTTCAGCCTGAGATGTGTTATGGCTGGCTCGAATTCTCAGCTCCTTCCACAACATGATCCCATTCATTTCTCTTAGGTCCATCCCCACCCCCAGCTACCTCCTCTCCTCCTCACTATAAGCCAAGCCTCTCTGTAGTTCTCTGTAAATACTCAGATCCTCTTGCTCAGCTCCTGGTCCCTAGCCTTATGGGTGAAGAAGATACCTCTTTAGCTTGTGCCAAGCCATCCCTCTGGGCTGCAGGCCATTCCATAGTCACCTTGCAATCACCTCTTCTAGATAACTGGCTCTGGGCCTTGGAAACCTTCTCTTTGGCTCTAGCTAACTTTGCTGTTTTATTTGATTTACTTAAAATGTATTCACTTAGTCATTGAGGTCAGAACTATCAGGAAAGCTCTTCTCCATAAGCCATCATCTATGCTAAGCCTGGGTCAGGTTTTTATTACCTCTTGAATATATATAGTGCAATATGGTGTAGTGGTTGAGAATGGAGCCTTTGCATTCCTGGATCTGCCATTCTGCATGACTTTGAGCAAATGACAAACTGCCCAAAACTTGACTTCTTTATATGTGTGGGG